GGTATTTGAGGCATTCAGCAAACCATACATACCTTCAAGAGATGAAAGGTCGTCTGTGAGAAGCGAAATTGTCGCAACAAAGTTCTAAAACCTTGGAAAAAACATGGAGGACAAGACAGTGTCCTGTGATGTCATCACGCACCAGTAAAACCGGTCTGACAACAAACGGTAAGGTGGCGCCAGGTTTGAATCCTCCGCCCAGTTCTAACAGACACTGGAGGCTACTCAGGGGTATTCAAGGGCACCTCTTGCCACATGACAAGATGACAGCTGAGAGGTGTAATGTTACTTCTTTAGAAAGTACTCTAGGAAAAAGCAAAACTACTAACAACAGGAAACAGTGAGAGCAGTAGCCATTTTCTTTTCTTAGCAATGAGGTTGGCAATGATTCAACACTTTGTGTGACTCACTGGCTGACAGACAAATTACCACTTTCCTGTAGACTAAGGGGAAGACCGTACTTATTACTAACACATTAGTGTACCATCCATGTCTAATAATACTAGTACCCCATTTTCAACCAGGTAGAGGGCTTTTTGGCTTATATCATCAGAAAAATGTGCTTTACGAATCAATGTTTCAAACAATACTTGAATGGATTAGAACTCTTGGAACCCCAAAACTGATGCAAGCAAAAAAAAGAATTGGCAAAAGAAGTTGCCTTCGAATTCCGATTATGAAAGCTATGTGGTCATGAAGGTTGACTAAACACAAAGAGTATGGTATGGCCAATTGTAAAGAAACTTTTTTTTCACAGGCATGCATCAATAGTCAAATCAACATGGCCTTAGCTGCTATTTAGACCTGGGAGGCATGATCATATGATATCACGATTGATACTTTCTCAGATGTTCAGAAATACCCTTTATATGTATAATAACACATTGCTGCAAAGGGACCATTAGGAGAATATTTTTCAACATTCATCAAGCAATTTGATAATCACAATTTCCCTATTCAGCAATGCAGACATCGTTTCTAAGATGTATTGCTGCAATTTCCTTCATATTAGAATCATAACCAACAATTGACTTGTTATTTTGAATTTCATTCCTTCTTATTGCTTGTATTACATATCAAATTGGTGAGTAAGGTTTACTTGACATTTATTATAGCTATTTCATGAGAATCATTAATGACAATGACAATGAACTTTATTGCATATCCACGCCCTACATGGGCCAAATGCATTAAGCTGGATAACTATAGGTACAGGTATAGAAGAAACAAGTGTTATACTTCTGTGCTATAACTATAGGTACAGGTATAGAAGTAACAGTGTTATACTTCTGTGCTATAACTATAGGTACAGGTATATAAGTAACAAGTGTTATACTTCTGTACTACGTCTCTAACTACAGGATCTATCTACATGATCTCCTCTCTCTTTTTGAAACATGTATGAACAAATTTACATAGCTTTTCATTTACATCGTAGTGCTTGGATGTCATAATATATTTGAACAGTTCTGCTTTTGACAAGTATGTATATTTCTTCTCTAACTCTAAGGAATTGATAAAGGATTTCCGCATATCAGTGTATAATGGG